ACAAGAGATAAACAACGAAATCAGATCAATAAAAGTATACTGAAAGACTCAAATGCTCGTGCCACCAAACTATACAACAACAACATCAACAAGCACAAACCATTTAAAATTACACGTGGCATCGCTGTAATAGTGAACCATGTTAAGACTCGTGTAGTCGGAATGGGATATCTAAGTTAGGATGCTATAGTTTCCCTAGAAGTATGCGGTCGTCACAAACCCTCAAGGAAGATTTTAGCCTTTCTACCATTACTTGCAGGAGATAATAATTGCTGTAACCAAAGAGAGCCATCATTTTCAGTGTATTGTGGATCTTTCCTTTTTCTAAGTAAAAATACTTCATTGATTCCAAAAAATAAGATAACTAGTAGAATGCTAGAGACTCCTTTCATTCAAAAATCAAACAGAGACCAAGAACCAAAGCCTCACAAGTAACCCTAACATTTGCCAATTATCCCGGAACTGAGAATAAGGTGGATATAAATAATTGGAATAGAGATCTACAGATCGGCTTCTCTAAAAGCAATGCAACAAATTTCAGAGTGATATGGCTTTGAAGTGACATGGCTTCAAATAAACACCTCAATTATGAAGGGAACCATGAAAGCGCCTCGGTGTCGGCTAGGGTCAAGTCTACAGTTCCAATTAAATGCCATTGATAAAAGTTGCCTTTTTGCCTCAGATAAACATGCCTACAAACTTTAATGCAGTCATTACTCCTGCTTAACCATCAAGAGGAGGGACGCACTCCTGCATGAGTGTAGCCCCCTAATAATCTCCATTCATAAGTATCGCAAGTGAATCACTTAGAACCACCACTAGGTGATTCATAGCTCAAATCACCTTGGCAAATCATCAAACTGAATCAATCTGCAACCATGCCAAATCTGTGAAACAGAACACGACTTCCCACTTTGAAACTTATAGGTCTATATAAAATGCATATTTATGTCCAGAAAGCAGATGAAATAAAAAGCACAACTGAGCATTTCCAAAATTCCTTTTTTCCCTTGAAATGAATTACAGAAGCATACAAAGCAATCAATAAAGTTGAAACTCCTGGGGTATTTATACCCATCAACTCAAATTGCATACTTTTTTAAGAAGTTAGGCCAGACAAACTGCACCATCACCACAATTGAGTTAAACCAATACCTTATGACCACCAAGTTTGCTTGATCAGCCTGCTCAGAACCTGCCAGTCCAAACAAACTTTTTTTTTTTGTGAGATAATTCACTGCTTGTATTCAAGGACAAAAAGTTTAGAACAAAAATGGGCCCAAAGGCTGGGGACTCAATACGTGGCAAGACAAAAAGTCTATACTGTCTCCGAAAAATTGTGTACAAGCAGAAAAGCAGCCATCCAGAGAGAGGAAGGAGAGGCCTTGGGGGACCAGAGCTCAAAAAGGTGCCAAAAAGTAGCTCAATTTATTGTTAATTACCAAAAAGTAGCTCAATTTATTTTTTACCAAAAAATAGCTCTTATTATTTTTCCTTGCATAATTTTATTTGTTATTACCAAACTGTACCTCGATCTATTTCTTTTACAAAAAATACATCAAATTATTTTTCTTTGCCTCATTTTATTTTTTCTTACGAAAAAATATCTCAAACTATTTTTCTTTACCTCATTTTTCTTTTTCAGTCACCAAAAAGTACCTAAGTTTATTTTAATTACCAAAGAGTACCTCAATTTATTTTTCTTACTAAAAAACACCTCAGTTTATTTCAATTACCGAAAAGGACCTCAAATTATTTTTTTAAACTGATTTTTTTTTTTACAAGAAAAAATAACTCTTTAAATTTCTCTTAACCTGATATTATTTTTTATTTCCCAAAAGTACCTCAACTTATTTTTTTTGCCTCATTTTATTCTTTATTTTCAAATAACTCCTCAATTTATTTTTCAAACGAAAAATACCTCAGTTTACTCTAATTTGCAAAGAGTACCTCAAATTATTTCTTTAGCGAAAAATACCTCTGTTTATTCTAATTTGCAAAGAGTTCCTCAAATTATTTCTCTAGCAAAAAATACCTCGAATTATTTTTCTTTACCTAATTTTTTTCTTTATTTTCAAAAATAAACTCGACTTATTTTTTTTATGAAAATATACTACAAATTATTTTTCTTTACCTCATTTTATTTTTTTTCGCAAAAAGGTGTCTCAATTTATTTTTCAAACAAAAAATACTTCAGTTTATTGTTAATTACCAAAAAATAGCTCAGTTTATTGTTAATTACCAAAAAGTAGCTCAATTTATTTTTTACCAAAAAATAGCTCTTATTATTTTTTCTTGCGTAATTTTATTTGTTATTACCAAACTGTACCTCGATCTATTTATTTTACAAAAAATACATCAAATTATTTTTCTCTGCCTCATTTTATTTTTTGTTACGAAAAAATATCTCAAACTATTTTTCTTTACCTCATTTTTCTTTTTCAGTCACCAAAAAGTACCTCAGTTTATTTTAATTACCAAAGAGTACCTCAATTTATTTTTCTTACTAAAAAACACCTCGGCTTATTTCAATTACCGAAAAGGACCTCAAATTATTTTTTTAAACTGAATTTTTTTTTTACAAGAAAAAATAACTCTTTACATTTCTCTTTACCTGATATTATTTTTTATTTCCCAAAAGTACCTCAACTTATTTCTTTTGCCTCATTTTATTCTTTATTTTCAAATAACTCAATTTATTTTTCAAACGAAAAATACCTCAGTTTATTCTAATTTGCAAAGAGTACCTCAAATTATTTCTTTAGCAAAAAATACCTCTGTTTATTCTAATTTGCAAAGAGTACCTCAAATTATTTCTCTAGCAAAAAATACCTCGAATTATTTTTCTTTACCTAATTTTTTTCTTTATTTTCAAAAATAACCTCGACTTATTTTTTTTACGAAAATATACTAGAAATTATTTTTCTTTACCTCATTTTATTTTTTATCGCAAAAAGGTGTCTCAATTGATTTTTCAATTTAACAAAAAAGCAGTAGCCTCAGTCGTAGAGGAGTCGGCATGAACAATAAATCTGGGAAAGGATAGCAGAATGTTGCCCTAGATTTCTCTGGAAATGCCCCCAATACCAGCTGGACTCGAGTTGCCAAGGGAGCAATGGTCTAAACTTAGCTTGGTTTGGCCCTGTTCCAGTGGTATCCATAGAACGGAGAGAGGAACATGCTATGACCTAAGGTCTAGCAAGGCCTGTCATTCTTGGAGGTAAGCTGAGTTCAGGTAATGACTGAAAATTTTGTTGTTCCCAGCCCAAAAAATGATCAGTGCTTTAATGCCATCTTTGAGAGCATAAGAAGTAGCCTTCTTCCCATTGAAGATCATGCTATTCCTCTCGGTCCTACCACCCATAAGGTAGAAGCCACTGCCTCACGCCAGAGGAAGATGCCTGACCTCTAACAAGTTAGATGTTTAAAGGAAAGGAAACGATGTGGAAATAATTTGGGAGTCACCCATGTCCAGTTAAATTGCGGTAGCAAGAATCACCACAAGCACCAAACACCACCATGTACGAATAGAGGTTCATTGGATTCCTAAACTGATTTGCACGTGACACATCTGTTTGGGATCGGCAGACCCCTATGATGGAGTTGATCAACAGTGAGAGCTATTTCAGACAATGCAATCCAGCTGAAGAATTGAGTCTTTGGAAGGATGGAAGAGGCTCAATGTCGGTAGGCGAGAGGGGAAAGGTTGGAGGCTGCTGCAGTCTTCTGTAGAAGGAGGAGACCGAGAATTTCCCCGCGGCAACAGGTATGCAAATCAGTTTGTCAAAGCCATTGGCAGGGAGGAAGGTGGATTGCAATAAAAAAGAAAGTGATTCACATTCAAGGAATTTGCAATCCAGAATTGCCCGTCTGAAATTTGGGTATACAACTCTCATGGAACCCAACAATGCAAACTGATCTACTACCATTGCTTCACATGCAATGAGGAATAAACTGTGGAAGCTCTCTTGAAGGGTAGAACTCCTGATCCACAGATCAGTCCAAAACCTGGCCCTATTTGTCACTCCTTTGCCTAAAACAAATGTTTTCTCGTAAGAGGTGGTAGCTGGTAACATACTATGCCAGATCCCTGAGTATCAGCTGTTGGCAACACCTCTAGGGCACAAGCTGAGGCCTCACAGGAGTATTTATGTCGAATTACATCCTGCCAAAGGTTCTCTTCGATAGCAAAGCACCACCACCACTTCCCAAGGAGGACTAGGTTGCATTTTCTGAGGCTCCTGATGCCAAGACCCCGCACCTGTTTGGGTAAGCATACCTTGTCCCATGCTATAAGATGGCACCTCCTTTTCCCCCCTTGCCAGACCATAGAAAATTCCTTATGGGCCTCTCTAAGCGAGTCACAAAGGAGTTGGCCATTTGGAATAAAGACGTGGTAAACTGAGACATTTGAAAGGGTGGCCTTGATGAAGATAATCTACACGCACTTGAGAGGAGCCTGCCTTTCCAGGCAGCAAATTTACAATCAAGTTTCTCAATAATGGTACCCTAGAGGTGCTTCTTCAGTTCACAACAATACAAAAAGGCCAAACCAGGAAAGCAGAAAGTAACTCATCCAGTCCACATCCTAGTTGGTTAGCAAGGTCACAGACCCCCCCAGCCTCAGCAGCGACTCCCATCATTTCTGATTTCGCCACACTAACATTGATACTCCAGCTAGCTCAAAGCATTTGAGAGAAGAGCCACAAGTGATCCACCTTATGATCAGCAGCATCGACAAAACACAGGGTGTCGTCCGTGTATTGGAGATGAGAAATAACCGGGCCCTGATTGCCGATTACTAGACACTCAAAAGTCATTATTGGTACACTTTCTCTATGCATCCATTATTGAAGTTCCATTTTCCTTTTATATAAATCCAACTTAAGGAAAGGGACAAAAATGTGAATGGATCATTTGTCCCTTAACTATGCAATGGAAATAGTGTGATCAATGCATAAAAAAGCTGGTAAATGCTTAAATTTAATAAGATTTATGTCAATAAATCAGTGTTGTAAAACACGGCCACATTTCGAGACTCACCAGTGGCCTGGAGCAGTCAGCTCAGTGAGTCCTGAGTGGACTCACTAAGTCTGGACCAAGTTCAGGGAAATGGCCCATTAAAAACTTGAAAAATGAGGAAAAACCAAACGATTAAAGAAAAAGCAAAATTAAAAAAAAAAAGTAAGAAATTGATTTTTAATGGTTCCTTTTGGAAACTAAGAAACTATTTCTTTTGGGTAGCTTTGAGAAAAAAAACATAAAAAACTATTTTTGGCCAAATAGTTTATGGATGTTCAAAATCTCCACCTAATCCAAGATCTTTATGTTAAATATAAGCATTGATTGGTAGATAACTCAAAAAACAGATTAGAGAACAAATTTCAACCAAGATCACCCAAGGGTCGCAAAGGAAAAACAAGTTTCGGACTTCAGCTAAACCCCAGCTGCGAAATCAATCTCACGAATCCAGCAAATTTGTAATTTTTATCTTAAATCTTATCTGTCTAATAGAAAGAGGAGCAAAGAGGACCCTAAAGCCTAATTTTCAAAGCAAAAAGATGCTTGGTTGAGTAAAAACATATAAAAAAAGGAAGTTCAGTTTTCCTCCCCCCTTTAAGCTCTAAAATATGCTGATTCAGCATCCTGACAGATTCCGCGAGTCTTTCAGAAACTCACCAGCTTTTTAAAAACTCGCATGATTTACGATAGTAACTCACAGGAGTTTGTGTACAGTCCCCCACCTGAGATGGGGCCGATACACCCTATGTAGAGTGCAAGCTCGAGTTACTCTGGCAAGTCCACTAGGACTCCCAAGTAAATATCTATATAGTAAAATGTGTTTAAAGGCAACCCAAACCCACTCTGAAGTAACAAGGTATCTTAGTCAAATTCAAAGTCCATCTCAGGTTCTGTAACATTGATAAAAATTCCATCTCCACCAGATAAATGCAAACAAAACTTTCTTAAACAGTGAAATAGCATGCATAAGCACTTTACAAGTCATAGCATGTAAACTAATATCATTGATCCCACTTCTTTCTCCCAGATCAGTCAATAAATAACGAAACCCAATTTACAGTTCCATTAAAGTACCACTGTTGAAGGCTAGTCCCAGTGGGCTCACAAGACAAGAGGAATATCATCTTCATGAATTAGAGTCATTTTTTACATACAGGAACAAAATTCACAGACTAAATGATGTACATCTTCTGCATCAAACAATGATAATTACTTGTACATATATACCAAGAGATGACGAAAACCAACACAAAGTGAATCATGTAAAGAGTGGGTAGGGCTCCTTGAATAGGTAGAATACATAATTATAGACCTTAGAGAACTAAAGACGTTTCCAAATAGCCAGAAAACTCTTTCACCTCAAAACATCAGTTAATGCAAGCTTATTTTCTTCACGGAAAGCCATTTTGTCTCCAAGAGAGCCCTCGTAAAACTTCATAACGATGCAAACCTGAAAATATATAGGAAAGTCAAGTAAGCCATAGCAGAATCTAACATTCTTTTTATAAGAAATAGAAGAGTATAATGGTACATTTAGAAATCATGCTTAATCATGCTCTACAGATTCAATGCTCAAAGAAAGCAAAACATGAACTAGTTTAAGTCCAAGTAGTTTGTAAACTTACCCTTCCATTTTTTATAGAAATTCCCCTCAGCAAGCAAACATTTTGCAATCCTTGGTACTTGAGAAATAAATCTTCAAACTTGGGAATAAAAGCCTGCATGTCAGCCTCTTTTATAGGATTCAACATCTTCACAGCAACTTCATGGTACTCGTCATAATCTTCAGTAGACTGATGAAGAGTTGCCAACCAGACATAACCAAAAGGACCTCTCCCAATCCTATGCTTAAGCTTTAAAACTCCAGGATCAATCCATGGACTAATTTGATTTGGTGTAGCCACAACGGTTTTAAGGTGTTCAGCATCTCCTCCATAGAGTTCATACTCAAAAGACTCTGTAGCAAGGGGTTTACTAATGCTGCTTCCTTCCATTTATATATCTGAGGAAATGAGATACATAATATAAATGAATCCAAAAACTAGACCTCCAAATAGACTTATTAAAGCATGATAAGGAAGAAATACAAACTTGAACAAAGAAAGAGCACTTGGAAGACAAAGAGGAAGAACCTATCAAAAATAGTGACTGTAGGAAGGGTTCCACACATTATAAGAACAATTGATAATGCACTATACTGATGCATCACTGCTTTCCAAAATATTACTATAAAGATAGGAAGGGAAAGTTAATAATACTTATGCCGAAAATGCTGAACGGGATCATTGACTGTGCTATGTAACTTCTGGTTTAAGATTTAATCAGCCTCTCCTCCTTATGTGCTTTCTTTTCTTTTTCTCTGCTAAGAAATGTATCTTGTGTCATATCCAAGCCAAAAAAACAGTTAAAGTAGATGGAATACAAAAAATGTTCTTTTTGAGTAAGTAAATCGCAACAAGATTGCCGTCAGCCGATCTAACGGACTGGCTAAGGGTTGGTGCCTCCAAAAATTGAGATTTGAGGGTTCTCCACTGTCCCTTATCCGACCTGGGTATCTACATCAGTTTTCGCTTCCTTCCATATGTGCTTGAAAATGACATGCAGTCTTTGGCAGAGTTGAAAAATTCTTGCTCAATGTTGGTTACAGCCAAGGTATTGGGCTTAATTCTTGGCCCAACTTATGACATGTTCAGAGTTCCCTTCCACTAGATGAGGGGAACCCCAGCTGGTCTCGAACATTTTGAGCTCTGTTAGCAGTACTAGTGCCAACCACCCAAGTGGCATTGGCAATTCCCAAGGGGCGCAAAAACATGACTAAAGGATGCAGTGTCGCTTCGATGGTTCCTCAAAATGCCTTCCATCCCAGCTTGCTCGGGCTTGCCTAGGGAGCTGCAATCGAAGTTGAGTTTGATGACATCCTTCCCTAGAGGGGGCTAATGGGACGACCTATGGACTTCAAGAGGTCTAGACAAAATGATTCCTCTCCAGCATCACCCGATGTCCAATGCTGTGTAGGGCTCAGTTCTTTTCGATTGGATGCCCAAACTTTGACCAATGTTGACGCGTTTGAAATTGGAATTGAAGATGCACCGTTCTTTGCGATCAAACAACCATTTGTTTCTCTTCAAGCAAATGGTCCAAACCGTGGCAACTAGGGCAGCCTCCCCCACAAGATAGGACCAGTAGAGGAAAAAGGGCAAAAATGCATGATTGGTGTAACTGCATAATTGAGCCTGGAGTGGCCCAAGGCCAGCAGAAAAGGTTTATGATTATCCCCAAAGCTGGAGAACCACCCTGCAATGAACAGGTGGTTGATAGTTTGCTCATGTTCCATGTGTTAAGGATGGTGTATTACCTCCTTATTGAAACTTATTAAGGGTGGTATAGATGGAATTTCACTTGTAAACCTAAAGTGTGTAACCTGTATATAAAAGAAACACTAAGAATGTGTGGGAGCTCCATGCATCCCTCATTGTCTTCTCCTTGTTTTTTTTTCAAAGGCTTGTGGAGGGTGGCAGAAAGTTTTTTTTCACATTTCCTACTTTCTGTCATGTATGACAGCAAGGTTGCAAGCAAAGTTACAGAGATCTCCCAACATAGGCTGCGATCCTGCTCTGGAATCTTGCTCTGGCAATGTGGGAAAAGGATCTTCAATAGATCTTGATTTTTAAATTTTGGGATCTCAATCCCCACTGTTAGGGATCGCAACCCAACCTTAAGAGACCAAGAAAATAACCAAACAAATGATTTTCTTTAAATATAGCCAGTTGGAAATACAAGTATATTGTTAATATAGTTGTATTTCTTGTTGGCTATAAATAAAGAGTTCCTTACTTTAAAGAGCAAGGACCCCAAAAGGTAGGGATCAAGATCCCAAAAGGTAGGGATCAAGATCCCAAAAGGGAGGGATCAAGATACTAAAACATAGAGATCTTGATTCCTAACGTTCGGGGATCTACATCCTTAAAGTATGCATTTCACAAAAGTTGCTAACAACCAAAAGGATCTTCTAGCATTTCATAGTCCCTGCTCTCGACCCCAATCCTGTTGCAATCCTAATCCCAATCCTAACAACTATGGCTAGATGATCTTCATGGCATAATCTCTCTCGATCATGGTAACCATTAATTTCTTCTTTTCTTCAATCTTTTTTCCCTCACATCTCTATTCTTCCTCTTCAAAACCAAACCGATCTCATCTTCTTCCCTAATAATTTCTCTCCATCTAAACCTAACCAACCTTCTTGTCTTCTTCCAATGACCGATCCCCTCATCTTCTTTCAAAGCCCTAATTTGAAAGTCCTAATCAATCTGTAATCCGTAATAAATCTTCTACGACAATACCCTGAAACCCTAATCTCTAAATCTCAATCTCAAACTCATTCATCCTTATTCCTTCTTATTTTCTTACATTCTCTGATTAAGAGATCGTTACAATCCCTTTTTCAAACCCTAATACATACTCCATTTAAAAAAGAGGTTCTATTTCCCTCAACAAAAAAAGTATTTCCTATTTCTGCCTTTGTTTAACCAAAAAAAAAAACATTTTACTCAAAACCTTATTGCAATGTTGTCTTCCTCCCAACAAAGTTCTCCCTCTAGAGCACTTCCTCAGCTTAAATGGTACCACGTATGCAATGCATTAAATTTAGCTCCAATTTTTTCTATTAAAGGGTCAAATTGTCTGTTTTCTTAATGCCTTGTGGGTTTGGGACACCTTAATGGGTTTGATCGCGCACCTCCTGAATTTACATAATAAGAAATGCCAAAGTAGAGAAGGAAGGGGAGAGATGATGTGTTTGAATGACAACCTTACACCTAAAGTCTTCTTACAAGTATTGGGTAACTTAACTGCCCAGGAGGTTTGGGACACTTTGCATTCACTCTACCCCCAAGTTTCTAAGACAAGATTTATGCATATGCAAGAACTAGTGAAATGCAAAAGGGTAATGCCGGTATTAGCAAGTATTTCACTAAGGTAAAAGGAATTTGTGATGAGATCATGGACATTGGCCAAATAGTATCAGATGAAGACAAGATATCATATACACTTGAAGGCTGAGAGATGAAAAACGTGTGTTTATGACATCTGTTTTGGCCAAGCAGCCAATTCCTACTTTTCATGAGCTTAAATCTCTTCTATTACAACATGAAGCAATGTCCAAAAAGAATGGCACCAGAGGTAGAGATTAGAATGACGACAATGATCATGATGTCTTGCATGTATCCTCTTCCTTCTCCACTTGAGACAAGGAAGAGGAAATCGTGGTCAAGGAAGGAACTTTGCAGCGCATGGTGGCTATCGAGGTCAATGATTTCAAGGCAAGCAATGTGGGCAATAGGGACAACCACAGGGAGGCGGATGTGGCATTTTAAGAAAGCCCAAACCACATGAATCAAGGTCAGGACAGCAACCTAGTGACTTCTATGCTTTCTCAACTATACGGGGAGAAGATTCACATGGCTGCTATTTGTTATTACCAATACTCAAAATTCCCAGCATGTAGCCCTCATTCATTCTGTAGCTAACATGTGCACATCACAGCTGAAAGAGCTTCCCAGTGCTGCATCATGGATCATGTATGATTGAGCTGCCAACCACATAACCAGTTGCAGGTAAATTCCAATGTTGTCACGAATGGACCGGTGGCCGAACCAGTGAAGGCACCAGTCTAGTTGGATTGGCCGGATCAAACTGGTTCACCAGTCAGAACGGTTACAAAATAAAATAAAAAAAGAGGCAAAGTATAAGAAAACTTGCAAAGTAAAAAAAATGAACAAAAAAAGAAAAATATAGAAAGTTCAAAAAACGATTAAGACAACAATTTTCATCAATAAAAGTTTTTCATTGTTCCATTGAAATGTTAAATAATAAAAAAATAAAAGAAAATATCATAAAAAAAAAAACCTAACATTTATGAAAATGCATATTATTAATGGCCAAAACAGCAAAAGCTTGCAACAATAAACTTATTGAAGCCCTAAAAACCATTTAATGGTACAAAGGAAACAACTGATTGAGTTGATTTGGGGAAAAGAAAATCTAAAATCATCAAAACAATTGCAACCCGGTGGGAAGCTATGAGAAACAGTGTTCATACCAATGGTTTAAAAAAGGAATCGTTGCCCTGGATAGGGCACCCCAAAAACCCATCCGGATCGGTGAATTAGCGTTTCGGATCAGGAATCAGCCGAATCGGTCGAAATCGCCATTAAAAGATTTCAAAAAAATTATTAAAAATCATTATAAATGTTTTTTAAGAATCCAATAAGAAATAAGGGTACGAAATTAATAACTTTTATTTTTTTCATCAATATGGGAATATTGATATGTTCTTTCCTTGTATGAAGATTCTCATCAAACATTTATTAAAATCTAACTAAATACAATATTACACATTGAAATTAGAATTATTGTTTTGAATTTTATTATTTTATCATCAGGTTACTATACAAATAAGAATAAATTTGAAATTTGTTTTATAATATCATCTAATTTAAAAATCTAATTCACAACCATAACAAAAAATAATACATTACATAATTTATAATGTAAATTAATTAATAAATAAAATATAAGATTTGATTATCATTGTAATTAGTATAATTATCAATTATAAAATTATAATAAACGTGATTCAAAAAACAAGAGTATGACACTCACAAATAAATAAATCTAATGTATAATAATTAGTGTTGATAGAAATATAGAATTTAGTAACATAAATTTGCAATCATATTTTAATAAAATTAAGAAAATAAATAAAGAAATTCATCTTTGCAATGTGGGATAATTGATAAAGCAACTTCAAATAAATTCTAAAGTGGTATGAGCTAGTGTTATTTTTCTCTCTTAAAATATCTCATAAACTAGTTTTTTTTTTTAATGTTCAATTAACCAGTATTAGTAGTATTTTTTTCTTTTTTTAATATCCTATGTGCTAGTACTAATTTTCTTAATCCCATTTAGCTAATAGCCTAATACTATTAATCTTTTTTTTTTTGGATAAGTAAATTTAAATTTTTTTAAATTTAAATTTTTTTGGTCAAGGATAGCGGTGGTGGGCCCTATCAACCAATTATTATTTTTAATAATTTTCCTCTCTTTAAATTAATATTCCTAAATTTCTGTTAAAAGCCACCATGCTATTAAAGAAATTAGTATAATTATGCCATTTATTTCTTGGTAAAAAAAAAAGTCTAACAATAGGTATTGATATATGAGAGAGAGAGAGAGAGAACGAGCTAACGCTCCCAGCCTCCATAGGGTCTAATGACAAGGTGAATGGGACGAAATGTCTTACAACGAACATGTAGAATAAGTTTGACATGTATAAAAGCCTCCTCATTAGCGCTCTCATGT